TAATTATAATATATTATAATTTTTCCAATTTAAACTATAAAAAAACTTCAATCTAAGAGATAAAAATATTAAAATGTTTTTAATGTATCTTATTTAATAAAAATATTTAAATACTTTCATAAATAGATTCTAAACTCAAAAAAAAAAAAAATCTGCGAGATTTAATCCGGCTCGGTTTTATCGACTTTCAGAAAAACTTTTGGACTATCCTGATGAACCCAGCCCGGTTCAAGAAAAAGAAAATATTTAGAGATACATCAGACATGGGCTTTTCTGTGGAGATAATGCGGCCACAATAGATTGGACTTGGAGCATTGTGTACTGAGCGTACCGTTTTGAAAAAAGAGTGTTGATGTTGGATTTGGGCCCTGGCAGCAGACTGAGGCCCAAATTAATTGGGTTTGTAAAAGATAATCAACTTCTTCATAGAGCCAGGTTGCCCAGAACTTGAATTGGTCAAAACTTGGCCCAATTATCAAAAACTTGCAAGTTGCAACTGCTTACATTAGGCTTTTTTACCATGAATGATGAAACACTATCAACAAATCTTCCACCCTCAAGTCCATAGTCCATACCTCTTGGGTGAATATTGCTTACCAATCTATAAAAATAATAGCAATTGGGAAATGAGAATTCCATGTTTCAATCAATCAAGAACTCTAGATTCTTTATATCAAAATCTTTATGTAAAAAAAAAAAAGGAAAAAACGAAGAAGAGAACTCTAGATTCTCCGATGGAAGAAACATGCACACAACTGCTCCTAGGAACATGCTGACAGCTGGTTTGGATTTAGAAATAAACGCTGCAACTGCCAACCCATGTGTGAGTTACTGATTAAAGATAAGTACCAATTTGCATATTATCTAATCCTTCATCTTTCTCATAAAATAATGTGTTAATGAATTCAAAATTCGGTACGAAGAGACAACCTAGCTGGATGAGTATTTTTGCCAATCGGTGGCAACAAAGAAACAAAGGCGATGAATTTGAGAGAAGCCTTACCTGGCATATGCGAATATGATAAATTGCACATATTTGGGAAAAGAAAATGATTTTGGAACAATTTTTTTTACTACTTTTTTATACAACTTGATATATCATTTAAATGATTAGTTCTTTTTATATATATGAAATCTGTGATATTGAATGCATTAATTTATTTAATATCATGTGAAAATTATATCAAAATATGGTAAAAAAGATTGTCCCTATAATACCGCTTTTGTGAAACTAGCCGAACCACTAGTTTGGACACCTATATTATCCAAAAAAAGATAATTATATTTTAATGTTGCATGTCAAAACATATACATAAAATTTATGTAAAATTCTAAGTTAAATTTATAAATTTACTCTAAATTCTTAATTAAACTTTTAGATTTTTATTGAGGCAAATAAGTTTATGAACTTGTTGATATGGGAAATTTAATCATCTTTCTTATGACAAACTTAACACCAATTTGTGTCTTATTTGCACAGACAATGTCAATACTTGCCATGTAAGGAATGATTTATTAATATCTTATCTATGCAAACGATGTAAAAACAGATTGTCGTAGAGAATATGGGTTAAATTGCCTAAATCATCAAATTTAAAAGTTTATTTACTTTGATAAAAGCGTTGAGACTTAATAAAAAATCTAAGATAAGTTTAAGGACTTAATAATAAGGTTTTGTACCAATATTAGTTGTCTGCAACTCTTTCGCCACCAATAATTTTGAACAATTTCATTCTTGCTTGCCAGCTAAGCCACTAAGTTTCTGACACAGTAGGCCCAAACTAATTTTATTCATTTGTTATAAACTGGGGAAATACACCAGACGTGTATAATGGATTAATACTCAGAATTTATGCTTTCCTTGTGCGTGGAGGGATGCTCTGCTCATTCCTGAAGAAATTCTCTGGATCAACTGCAGTCTTCACATCCACTAATCTCTCAAAATTCTGATTAAAATACTTCAGCCCGTAAACTTTACCTTCTTCGTAGGTGCCTGTTTTACTGATGCCGTTGTCGATGTCACGATAGGGAAAAAAGGCTCTCCTGGGATTTTTGGACACAAAGGGAGTCATGTAACCATGAAGTGTGTTCACCAGAGTTGTGTAGTTCCTTTCTGCCTCAGTTCCAGCCGCATTCCAAGTCACAGTGTATTGAATCTTAAACAAATTCCCTGCTCGGTGAGGCATTGGAATATCTGTTGCTTTGATTTCATTCATTCTGCCTCCATATGGATTCAGAACCAGTTCTGGTTCTCCCAATTCAATCATCCTTTTCCATAGCCATTCCAATCCATCTTTAGAAATGGGAGTCTGTACATAATCTGACTTCCTCTTGAAGAAATGAACAATGTAATTTCTACTAAGCAGTGCATCAGGTGATGCTGCGTGATCGAAATTAGCCCACCAAACAACGGATTCAATCCAACTCATTTCCATACAGTCTTCTTTTTTCAAACCCAATTCAGGGAAATCCTTTCCCAACAGCTTCACAAGACTATCTGCATCCCCTAAATACAATGACGAGATCGATGCTCTAACTGTTTTCTGCTTGTTTCTCCTTAATGGCTGCAAAACCATCCTCATAAATAGATTATTGTTTATTGTTGGAGCAACAGATTGCCACCGGAAAACAATATCAGTTGCATTCTGATCCAAAGTTCTTTCGGATGTGAAAATGGTAACAGTCTCTGGGACTAAAACAAGTTTTATCTTGTATGCAAGGACCACACCAAAACTTGCTCCTCCACCACCTCTAATTGCCCAGAAAAGTTCTTCTCCCATGCCCTTTCTGTCAAGAATCTTGCCATTAACATCAACTATCTTTGCATCCAACACATTGTCTGTTGATAGACCATACTTCCGCAGCATAGTGCCATAACCACCACCACTTATGTGGCCGCCGATCCCAACCGTTGGGCAGACCCCTCCAGGGAATCCATGGACTTTGCTCTTTTGCCAAATATTGTAATAAAGTTCACCAAGAGTAGCGCCAGCCCCAACCCAAGCAGACTCCTCTTCCAAATTGATAGATATGGAGCGTAGATTGAACATGTCAAGAATGATGAAGGGCTTGTCGGAAATGTAAGATAACCCTTCAAAATCATGGCCACCGCTTCGGATTTTGAGTTGGAAGCCAACATTTCTGGAACATATTACGGTTGCTGAGACATGGGATTCAATCAATGGGGTGACAATAATTACTGGTTTTGGTGTGGAAGAAGAGTTGAAACGAGCATTTCGAACGTAAGCTTGCAAAACAGATGAGTAGGAAGAATTGGAGAGGGAGAAGATAATGTTGGAGACTTGACCCAATGGCTTGGATTGGTTTCTGAAGCATTGTAGAAATGATTTGTAGACTGAATCCGAATCTGCCCATGAGGACGAAAAATTCAAAACAAGGAGAAAAAGAAGAAGCAACATTGGGTGATTTAAAAGTGGGTTGGTTGTCTTAGGACTTGAAGCTTGTTCGAAGATGTACTAAAGAAACCTAGGCCCATAACTTGAAGCTCAATCCAAGATCGAACAAAGCAAGAACTTCAGGAGGACCAGGCGTAACTAAAGTTCACTCGGTGACCAAGTAGCCAAGCAATGAACAATGGTAAACGCAGGAGAAAATATTCAGGTACTCTTGGTAAAATTGAATGTAGTGTTGGAATTATTGGTAGAAACGTGGCATTCAAATCTGCAGAAATTATGAAATGAAACTGCCATGAAATGGAAGCAATAAGGCTGAAAATTAACGGCAAATGAAGCTGTAATTTGACAGCAATTTAGCTGCAAATATGATGGAAATGGAGCTGTAAAATAACAGCAAAAATGTGCAGCAAGCTAAGCTGCAAATGTTGATGAAATGATGTTGCAATGAACAGAAAATGCAAATGCAAACTTAAATGCAAATGCAAATGCAAACTCAAATCCAAATGCAAATGTAAATGAAATGAAGTGACCAAGCATACTGCAGAGCTGCCAAAGGACGCAAGCATGCAGCAAAAGTGGCTGATATTTTCAAATTGAAAGTGTACTTTTATTATTTTTTAATGTAAAATAGTTGCTTAGATTTAAATTTTGAATTGAGTTTGTATTCTTCGGTAAATAGGAGAAATTGTAATGAGGAAATTTGAGTTGGAGTGACATACTCCTCTTCATTTTATGTGTTTTGCCCTTCATTTTCTTCTCCCGAAATTCTCTCCATTTTTCTTTGATAAAAAATATGAACATGTACAATATATGGTTATCCTTTAATTGTTTTCGTTTCTACTGTAAAAGAAAACAAGCAAGTTTTTTTTTATTGTTTTTTTAATTTTTATGTAAAGGTAAACAAGCAAGTTGTAATATAGATATAATGGGATTGAGATTTTGAAATAGTATGTTATACTCAATTCTATGTCTGGACTCTAAAAAATAGTGACAGCATAAATTATATATGTAAATTCAAGATCATTTTCTGCATACTAACAACTAGAATTTAAAATTTTCAAGAGCAATGTAGATTTTAAATC